GTCCAAGAGCGACGGCGCTGACGCGACTTGGGTCTCGGCCAAGTAGCGTGCTCGGTCGTACGCGGCGAGGTTGGTCCACACCACGCGCTCGCTGGGCGAGAGCGCCTTCCAGAGCCGCCCGAGCTCGCGCGAAATGGCGTCGTTGCCCCACGCCGGGTGCGCCTGGACGATCTCGACGCGCTTGCCGTCGGCGAAGTGGAGGTACGCGTTCCTCCATGGGCGGACGCTACGAGCAGGTCATGGAGACGATGATGATGATGTCGGAAGAGTACCTTGTCGACGTCGCCTTGGCCATGTCACCGCCCTTTTTCGCCGTTTCTTGAAACTAGGATTTCCGGATACTTTGGATCGCACCGGATACGGCGGCGACTGCCTGTCTTTGTCCTCCCAAGCACTCATCCAAACAAGGTGGCTGCATCTCGAGGCGACAAGGTAGTCTTCCACTTGCAAACATACTGCGAAGACCAGCGCCTTCTCGTCATGGTCACAAAGACACTGTCTTCTCAATTATGTACTTGAACCAGGGCATTTTAGCTGTCGGTCAAGCGACGCGGTCCGAGTCGAATCGTTCGTGTGGACATACAAACAAGGTTTGATGTCATTGATTGCATTGCATATCTAATTTACAAGAAGGAAGTAGAACTTCACAAAATTCGAGTCCCAGTAGATCAACGCATGGCCTGCATCGCTAGCAACTCGACCGGACTACCATCATAGATGCATGCTGATGCAGCAGCAAGTGGAGGATGACCTAACGAGTGGTCAACTTGTCTTATACTAGTATGACAGTATTGCGTCATGCACGAGGTGTGCAATGGCCCGCGCAGGCTCCTGGTCCTACCACCAAGATCGTTTCCATGTTTCGCGCGCGCTCGATGCTGGTGCCGCCACGTTCGAAAATGCACCCAATTCTCTATCAATCAATTCCCTGTATGAATCGTATTTCGTAAATTTGTACAATAACTCTGCATATCCTGTCATAAACCTTTGATAATACATAGTTTGGAACAACGTATGCTAATGCTGAAGAGTCGACAGAGCGGGTAGGGCTGTGGTGTTATAGCCAATCACAACTCCGATATGTATTTTGAGAGTCTTCTAGAAACCTTTGTAAATGCATAGATGCGATTTGAATGGTCAGCAAGCCGATGGCGCGCGGTGTCTGACCGAAGTGTCCTCATTTTGAAATTTGTAGCAGTAGAGCAACTAGTCGAGTCGGAAGCACATGATATTTTTCAATCAGCTACTCTGAAAGGGCTTTAGTCGGCCCGCAAAACCATGTAGTCAAAAGGATCTGATGCTTCCCGAATACACTCCCATAGTAATCTCAACAAGAAGTAATAGCGTCGAGTAGTTAGCAGCAGCAGCAACGACATGCGAGTGCAAATGAAATTCATCTGAATCGCTACACTTAAATGAGTATTCAGCTCAGCTTGATGTGGACTTTCAACAATATGATGCACTTCAACCAAACATACATAGCCTCGACGAGAACTCATCTCGAATTTGGGTCTTCGCAACCTCACTGCACCGCAGTCGCGCGGGGCGAGAGAGCAATTAACTACACATGACAGAGAACCAATCAAGACGAAACATTTGCTGGTGGATACGGTAGCAAAATATGGGTTTAAGCACAAGCATGTCTTATCCAGCAAGTGGATCATGAGTACCACTGGCGCTATTCTCCGTGAAAGCTTGTGCGTGGTGTCATCGCATGGAGACGCTCCGTCTGATCGCACGAGAAAACATGTCTGGTCTTGGCTACTACTTGCTAGGCCCTACGAGGCCAGTCTCGACGCCGACAAGTGTCTGACATTGAGAAGATGCACGAGCATTAGACAATACTAAGAAACGTGTTCAGGCAAAGCAGTTAAAGGACAAGCGATTTGAGTACGAGTGAGGACCTTCGTAAAAGGTAATAGTAGTAGAGACACATCCAAGGCGACGACACTGTTAGAGCGGCCGGCCGACGAGGTTCATGACAAAGTCGTAAATCTTCTGGAGCACGGTCGAATCGAGGACGCGGTACTCGGACGCAAAGGCCATGAGGCGCCGCCAACACAGCGTGAGGTGGCCCGACATTTCGAGCTGAGCAAAGTGGCGCAAATGCACCCGGTATAAATACACGTAGACGTGGAGCATGCCTTGGTAGACGTTGTGGACCTTCTCGGCGTCGCGGGCGTCGTCGTCACGGACGTGCGCCTCGAGGCGACTCATGAGCACGTCCATGGTCGCGGCCTCGTCCGAAGGAACGCGCATGTCGGAGACGAGGTTGTAGAGCACGCTCACTTCACTGTAGAAGTCGGCGCCCATCTCGGCAGCGATCGCGAGGGCCTCTGCCTCGGACTGGAGCAGCGTCGGCTCGAACGCGGTTGTGAGTACGTCGGCGTCGAGCACGGGGAGCGGCTCGTCGCACTTGCGGAGCTTCTCGGACGGAGGTTGCGAGCTCATCGAGTGCCACCGCGCCGAGTCTCGTCGCCTTTTGCCTCCGGAGGCAGATCCGCTCATGCCACCGAGTTGCACGCACGTGGCTTGCATCATGGCGGACTATGGCGCCGGCGTGGATTACCAGTAATGATCTTGATCCGCCATCTTCACCCGCCCGATGCCATTGGCCTAGAATGCACGCCTCCTGCGATGCCATTGGACGAGATGCGATACCGAGGGTTAGGGCCCCAAATTTTGCTCAATGGAATCAGCCGATTGAAATTTTCGACTTTGGATGGGCGGTTTATCGGCCGAATTTCGAAGCCATCCACAAAGCGAAGGTCGAAGCATGGACTATTTATAGACAGGCGGTGATGCGTTGCCGATGGTCACCGACGCCGTCGTTGATGGCCACCGATGCAGCCACCGATGATCAACGACGACGATCGTCGTCGATGGTTGCCGACGTCCGCCGGTGCCTGCTTCGGTGGCGTTGACGGGCCTTGATTGAAATTTGCGCCAAAACACGTGGCAGCACCGGCTTGCATGGAAGGATCGGAGCACTTGGTCCCTGCTTCTTCTGCCGCGACAAGCTTCTTCCAGCTCTTCTTCGACGCTTTCGCGTGCCACGGAGCCATGGCGTCCAACGATGGCGACCTCGACGAAGGCCAAGGCGCGTGGGAAACGGCGGTCGGTGCGCTTGGCCGATTGTCGACCGGCTTGACTGCATTCGGAAAGGTACTTGCCATTCTGCCATTAGAGACCGAGACGCATGCTGCACAGGTCGTTGTGGATTGCGGCCTTGATCGTTGGCTACATGGCCTACATGAGTATCCAGCCGACGCTTCCGACGTACGAAGGTTGGGATGCCACGACTTTGTCGCGGCTCCAGGCAGCGCGTCAGCCTGTGCGGCTCGTCGGGTCGCCCACAAGTACGCGCTGGAACACATCGCACTGGACGCTCGCGCACGTCGTGTCGCGGCTTCCCGCGTCCGTGCAGATGCAATACGCGCCGTCGGCGTCTTTCGCCACTATGATCCGAACTTGGAGCTCGCGCAGCGCTTTCCGCCCACATCCCAGACACAGCCCATGCGCGGCAGGGACGTTCTGGCTCTTCTTGACGGCGCCGATGGCAGCTACTACCTCAACGACGAGCTGCACCGTCTTCGCGCCGACTTGGTGCGGGACGTGCCACTGGCTGGCCCGTCGCGCCGGACGCA